GATACCTACACGTTTTTAGGCTTTTTCCGACCGAATCTGCAGAATCTCTCTTGGGATTTCTCAAGAAATCCGCGCCTTTAATTCAATTTTCTTGCGAACAGTTAATTCAGAAAAATAACTCATCTGCATCGTTTAAAGTTTCATTTCCCATGTCAAACGTAGAAGAAGTATAGTATACAACCCAGACATTTGGCCGGAAGGGTGCGAAGTGCAGCGTTTCACATTCTTGAGAAATTTTCCACTGCAAGCCTCGTAGGAACCAGCACCACCACCCAACCTACCGCTGACAAACTAACTGGCCACCTAACAGTGACCGAAGTTTTACATTTAAATGTGCAATGTTTGTCTAATAAAATTAATTTAATTGAACAATTTATTAATGAGTATAACTTCTCATTTTTAATGTTTTGTGAGCATTGGTACTCAAATTGTGATATTGAGAATATTAGTATAAGTTATTTTAGATTGGCTTCACATTTTTCCCGAACAAATCATATTAGGGGTGGAACATCAATATTTGTGAATAAATTTACTGTTATCTGAATGTAGACCTCTAACAAATATCAATCAATTATCGTAAGAAACCATTTTTGAATGTTGTGCCGTATCTTGTAGGAAGAAGTACTGTCTAATTAATGTTTACAGACCACCTACTGACTGTAAATACAATATTGAATTATTCTTTTCCCAATTTTCGAAAATGCTTCAAATATCTATAAACAAGTTCAAATACGTAATCATCAGTGGAGATTTTAATTTTAATCAACTGAGTAATGACTTAAATACCAAGTACTTCTTTGATATATTTCATTCATATGGAATGACATCATTAATTACTGACTGTACTAGGACTTTTACAACTGTTTGCAACACTAGCCGCTCCTCTATAGACTATGTAATCACGAATGCACCGCATTTAGTGACAACTAATAATTTTGACCCAGGTATTTCGGACCACTACTGCCAGACTATTCAGTTTCAACTGGACTGCTCAGGTAAAACCCATATCGAAAATAAATCTGTGCGTTATTCCTTTAGATGTATTAATGATCATTCTATTTCTGAGTTAAAACATCAGCTATCCAAACTGGGGAATTCAATTTAAATAGTGAAACACAAGTGGATCTTTTATTTGACAAATTTTTGAGCGATTTTTTCTGGTGTTTTAATCACGCTTGTCAACAAAAAACCATACAATACAAATCCAAATGTAAGCAAACATTATAATAAAATAAAATTTTCAAAAAGCTTAATCGAAAAGAGGAAATCGCTAAATAATTTAGATTGGCTACGTAAAAGATATCACTCTGATGAATTAATCCAAAGATTTCGAAACCTAAAAAGGGAGGTGCGAAAGCAAATAGATACTGAAATAAAAACTTTTACACACGAAAAATAAATAATTCCGCAAATAAGAATAAAGCATGAACTGGTAAATGACGTGAAGGGTAAACGCAAAAGCAAAACAATCGGAAAGATTAATTATAAAAAAGACATATTAACAAATTCACTCGATATAGCCACAGCTTTTGGTGAATACTTAACCTCCAAAGTGCATAGAAAAGTAAGTAATCATTTTGGTAACGACTTAAGCAGTAAATGTACAGTGGGTTCATTTTCTTTGGAGACGATGTTCTTTACTCCCGTCACTACTGCAGATGTACTTGTCACAATACGTGAGTTGCCACACAAAAAATCAACAGGACTTGATGGAATACCTGTATCCGTAATTAAAGAATGCGGACCAGAAATTGCTCCAATTCTTTCTCACATTATCAATTTGTCAGTTACACAGCTTCCTTGAAATTAGCTTCAGTCATTCTATTATTGTAGCAGGGTGATCATAGCAACATTGAAAATTATCGACCTATTGCTATATACTTAGCATTTTTTCAAAAATTATTGAAAAAGTTGTAGCTAAACAAGTAGAAGCGTATTTAACAAGGTTTAATAAAATTACTATTAGCCAGCATGGTTTTCGACACGGTTCTTCGACCGAATCCAATACAATTGAGTACGTCCAATTTGTGAATGAAAGGTTGGATAGTGGGGATCATATCGTGTCTATCCTGTTTGATTTAACAAGAGCATTTGACATGGTTCAAAAGTCCTTTGTTTCGGATAAATTGAATAGTCTTGGTATACGTGGGTGTATCAACAAATGGTTTGTTTCTTATTTGGATTGTAGAAAGATCATGGTGCAAATGATGTCTATTCCAAGGAATTTAATATTGATCTCGGTACGCCTCAAGGAAGTGTTTTGGGACCACTAATTTTTCTTGCTTTTATTAATGATTTGCCAAGGCATATTTCGCACGGCAAAGTCCTTCTGTACGCTGATGATACCTGTATAATACTATCTGCTGCATCTAAGGATGTTTTATTGAATAAAGTTAAAATATCTTTTCATGAATTTAACAATTATTGCAATAAAAACAGATTAATACTTAATACAAAAAAAAACAAGTTGCATTGCTCATTTCAGCTCACGGGAAAGAGTAAAATAAAAATTCATTTTCAATAATATTAAAGTACATTTCTCTGATTGTGGAAAATTCCTGGGAACATATTTAGATAGCTGCTTCTCCTGGGATACTCATATTGACTTGGCCTGTAAAAAATTGAACCAATGTTTCTACTTGTTAACAATTTTAAAACATATGTTGGATAGAGACACTTTAGTCAACATATACTATTCATAATGCTTATAGTGCAATAGCGTATAATATTGTTGTCTGGGGATTAGGACGTAATGTTCAAAGAGTGTTTGTGTTACAAAAGCGCATCTTAAGGCTAATCTTTTGTTTAGAATCACGAACCTCGTGCCGAAATACCTTTAAAGAACACAAAATTTTAACTGTTACCTCTGTTTATTTACTAAAGTTATTATGTTACATTTATAGAAACAAATTTAAACTTGTTAAAGGCACTGACCGACATACATACGACACCCGAGGCAAGCATGACCTTATAGAAAATAGAAGTATTCATTCATATTGCAAAAAATCGCCTTTTAATGCAGGAATTCGTTTTTTAACTCCCAGCAAAGGTCAAAAACTGCGAAACAGCTGTTAAATTTAAGAGAGAGCTAAAACTTGTTTTATTACAAAAGTGTTTCTATTCACTGGGAGAATTTGAAGCCTTCTGTCTTTAAATTTTGTACTTTCTTTCCATTTTGGTTTATATATCTGTACCTGTATCCTTTAACTTATTTGTCAATCCTGTACATGTTTGTTTTATACATACTATATGTCTTTTTTACTGACTTGATCAATGCCACATACTTTGGTCTATGATCTAATAAAGTTATTATTATTATTATAATTTCGACAAAAAATTCAAAGGGCTATAACTTTTGATCTAGTAGTCCAATCTTGGAACTGTTTGAAATTATGGATTCTACAGGCCAAATTCTATCAGAAAAACTTTTTTCCCGGTCGATCTGAGACAATTTTTTTTTCAGGCCTCAAAAAAAGGCAGTGTATACACTTCCTTTTTTACCAAAAATCGACTGCACCAAAATTTCTCGGGAAAACACTTTTTCTTATTAATTTTGGTGCGTAGAATCCAAAACAATTCGTACTTTTTCGATCAGACCTCTCAATAAAAAGTTATAGATTAGAAACCAATTTCGACAAAAAATTCAAAGTGCTATAACTTTTGATCTAGTACTCCAATCTTGGAACTGTTCCAAATTATGGATTCTACAGGCCAAATTCTATCAGAAAAACTTTTTTCTCGGTCGATCTGAGACAATTTTTTTTTCAAGCCTCAAAAAAGGCAATGTATACACTTCCTTTTTTACCAAAAATCGACTGCGCCAAAATTTCTCGGGAAAATACTTTCGTACTAATTTTGGTGCGTAGAATCCAAAACGAGTCGTACTTTTTCGATTAGACCTCTCATTCAAAAGTTATAGACTAGAAACCAATTTCGACAAAAAATTCAAAGGGCTATAACTTTTGATCTAGTAGTCCAATCTTGGAACTGTTCGAAATTATGGATTCTACAGGCCAAATTCTATCAGAAAAATTTTTTTCACGGTCGATCTGAGACAATTTTTTTTCAGGCCTCAAAAAAAGGCAGTGTATATACACTTCCTTTTTTACCAAAAATCGACTGCACCAAAATTTCTCGGGAAAACACTTTTTCGTACTAATTTTGGTGCGTAGAATTCAAAACGAGTCGTACTTTTTCGATTAGACCTCTCAATCAAAAGTTATAGACTAGAAACCAATTTCGACAAAAATTCAAAGTGATAGGTCAAAGTGCGTTAAAATTTTGATCATTCTCATTCAGTGGATTTTGGGCTAGCTCTCCTACTATAATTTTTACACTATGGCGACAGTCACTAGCGGTCGCCACACTACCTACCTTTATAATTATCGGCTCCAGGCCATTTATATCTAAAAGTACCAAATGTAATTAAAATTGATTTTTCCATGGATGTTTTAAGTGATAAGTTGCAATTAAAAATGGTGGGGTCGAAGGGAACAATATATTTGCACTTTCAGATGAGCCCCCTCCCCTTCATTCTATCAAAACGACTTGCATAAGTAGGTATATTTTTGATATTTCTAATAGGAAACAAATACATTACCTTCCATACATTAAAGTGTGATCCTGTGTGAATTTATTAAAATTCAAGGCAATTGTCCACCTAAGGTGTAAGTTAGCAAGAAAAAATGGGGATGAAACATACTTTCATGAATGCTCAAGTAGTTATTAACAAATTGACGTGGTTGCCCATCCAGTTATCATTAGGTTACTCTTTAATGTTTGCAGGTACTCAAGCCAACAGTAGGTATAACTCGAGTCTTACAAGTACTCATTCTCACTGAAAATGTTTGGTAGTTTCATTGACAGATTCACTACCCTTTGTCTCAATAAGTTTTTGTGTTGTAGGATCACTCAACTGAGATGGTAATGAAAAAAGAAGCAAATCACTCAATAATTTACTATGTTTGTAATTGTCAACCTCACACCATTTATATATAAAAATATTAATGTAATTAAAATTAAAAAAATCTGAAAACACAGTCAAAGGCACCAGAGGTAAAATAAAAGATATTGCATTTACATATAACACCAAATAAACTAAGAGATAGTGATCGATTGAAACATAATTTAAGTACACAGTAAAATGGCAAGTAGTTTGTACATAAATTATCGGATATGTTTATATGCTACAAGTTAAGGTTGGTACTTGGTACCTACTCGCTTAAGTTTTATGTACAATACTTGTAAAGCTGCAGCAAATTAAATATTTGTATTTACATATTCGAAGGGAATGTTAATTACTAAAATTACTACTTAGGGCGAACTTCTTTGAAATACCACTGCTGATATGTATTGTTACTATCACACGGCATTAACGACAGATGGGATGTTTGGGGATGCAAGGCCATGCACTTCTTGTGTAAACGATGCATTAAGGTGTGGGTGTCTTCGTCATACACCCAAGGTCCGTCCACAGTTCCTAGTCGGCAAAAGGCCAGTTTGATTCCTTGAGAGTCGGCTTCTATGCATCGCTCGCCTACACCCAATTGGCCTTTTGCATTTAGACGAATTAGTTGATTATTGCCGAATCCGTGGCAGTGCTGAATGGCAATCAGAGCGGGTGGAGCGTGTCCCAGTGTATCGATGCATTTACCAACGGCACCGGAACGTAACTCACCCCAATGTAGATTCGGTGGGAGCTCTGGAAATCGGTCGACAACGTCATAGGCGACATTCTCCATAAACCAACTGAAACTTTTACACTTTAATTTTTCTTTTAAGGCCTTCTGGTCGGAAATGTCTCCCATGTCGAGGAAACGAGCTAAAGGCTCTCGAGTGTAGAAGTATTCCTTATATTTCTCATCGAACCACGTCTCGATTACACGCTTGTAATTAATTGTAATCAAAGGTCCCTTCTTTTTCTGAGCCAATTTTCCAAAATTGTAAGGCATAAATCCGCGATAAACATGTCCCACTCGCGAGCATGGCACCCACTCGATGCTCCCGCCGCACTGCCATATTTTAAAGCTGAGCTCGAAGTTCTCCCCGCCCCAAACTAAAAGACCAGGATCGTACGCTCCCAGCTCCAGGAAGTACTTGCGATCCACAGCGAACAGTCCACCCGCATGCGTAGGGCTTTTGTACGGTTCACTGTTATGGGCCCTTGTCGACAATTCGCGTTCGGGAACGTCGTTCTCCTTATACAGCATGCCCCACTCGAAAATCCCGCGGAAATGACGGTGCTCACCATAAACCGGACGATACTCGAAGGTCTTGTGATCAATTCCATCTATAATCGGTACAGTAAGCACTGTGCGATCGCGATAGATCGGTGCCAGCAAAGGTGGCAGCCAGTTGGTGTTTACTTCACAGTGTGCATCTAAAAAGACTATAACTTCACCCGTCGCCTCCTGAGCACCCCTGGATCGTGTCCTAATCAAACCCTCTCGTTCAGTATTACGAATTAATCGAACAATCCCCCCAAATTGCTCAATATAATTATCTAAGTCACTTTTAAGATTATCCTTATCACTAAAATCGTCCACAAGCAGAATTTCCTTCAGCACATGCTTGGGTGATCGATTAATGACAGAGTGCACAGTCCGAAGAAGCACAGACCATCCCTCGTTGTGGAAGACAATTATGACGGTAGTCGACGGCAGATCATGCGGGTAATCCCAGTGTTTGCATTCGGGCATTCGTGTATCGGGGATGGCACGATCCAAGGAGATTTCATCTGAACAGGCGATGTTCATACCATACTCCGCTTCGGACTGATCGGCGTCATTCTGCTGGTCTTGCCGTAGCACGTGGGCCTCGCCGTTTTCGCCTGGACCGACGCGTTTCTTCAGATTGCGTGGTTCCAAATTGCCCAGGTCTTTTACTAAAATTGGTCGCTCACGCCTTGTCAGCTTAGCCGTTTGGGCAGCATCCTGCTGTCTATTGGGCCAGGTTGTTAATAAATAAAGTAAGGGCACTAAAATTAAGCATATCGCAGCGATTCGGATTAATTTCCCTTTTCTATTTAACAGTAAACGGTTTAACAATAAACGTGTCATCTCTTCTAGGAACCTTCTGAAATGTTTAAAGTCAGTGGGAAAACGTGTTAAGAGAATTATACTTGCGACAGGAAGCGATTGTGTGTGGTTGCCGATAACTAAACGTCGTACGATATACTTTCATTCATTGTTAATGACGATAATTAAACAATTTAACCGGTAAAACTTTCGGTGACATTTTAAGTGGAAACGTCAACAATTTTAAGCACGGCAACGAACTTTAATTACACGTTTTGGTTTGCAACTCGCCTAAATTAGCAAAATACGATTAGATGGCAGCACAAAAAAGCTCAGGACCGTACTTGGCTGGATGGAATTCAATTGTAGTTTAGGAAGTGAAGTAGCACTTTTTAATATAAAATGTGCATTAAAAAGGATGTAGATGCGGGGGAAACTAAGTTGAGCGCTTAACTACTGAAAAATTACTTTATTATTGAGAAGTCTTTTACCAATTTTATACTTTTCGGTTTTTACGTTTGTAATTTTTAATAAACGAAAAGGGTTGTGGTTTTAGGTTTAGATAAACGTTAAAGAACTCTTATAAGCAACAAGAATTGAGTTACATCCGGATATTTGACAGTATAAAATGAAATTTCAATCAATAATTGTGATGATTTAAACCGTTGAATTTTATAACAGCTATCCTTTTAAATGGAGCGCATTTTAAATTTCTGATGAGGTTTTTTATTGTAATCTTTGCATTAAAGACAAACATACCTACAAAATGTATAATAAATAATATTTTATTCAATATGAAAATGAAAAATTAAATAGATTTCGAAAACCCTTTGTCCATGCGATTCTATTAATTCACCATCAACATTTTTCCTTTCTTTGTGTACATGTGCCTTTAAGAATAGTATTTCACTCGAAAATATCAATAAAATTTATTAGTAGATGCTATTTAAGTGGTCTAAATTCGATAATGCCATGATATAACCATTTAAAAAGATATGTAGGGGAATTGTAGATACTGGGCCTTCATTTCAAAACAAACCGCCGAATGTAATTTGCCATTTTGATAAAAATTCAAAAATTAGTAGGAGAGGTAGCAGGTATTTTTCTAGGTGGGGTTTAAGAAAATAGAAGACCATCAGATTATTAACAAAAATTACTGTACATTTCTATCTATCTGTAAAATATGTAAATCTGTAAAATCAGTAAGTGATCTACACTTTTACTAGATGATTCGAATATTGTGAGGACTGTAAATATTGTGGTACATCAAATATCTTTGTATCCTTGTTTGATTTTGTTTGCAGAGTCCACCAGCTACCCTTTAATGCACATTAAAATATTAGCCCTTTACCATTTTAAAAAATACGACGCGCCAATGAAACGATTCGTGCACTACGAGGGCTGTAATTTTTGTGATACTTCAAACGTTGTTGTTTCTTTGTTTGATGTTAAGCTCACGTTCCCATCACCTTCTGCTCGTGTTCTCAAGTTTATTTCCTGAAATTTCCACTTCTAAGTTGCGATTAAATTACCATAATAGTCCTTTTTCCTTTCATGGTGAAGTTTTCATCAAACTATGTCGGAACAGTTGCTCACAGTAAGTTACCGTAAATTCTTTGGACCATATTTTCCCAACGTCTAGTCATTGCTAGTCTAGGAACTTAAGCATTAAAAAACGCCGAAGAGAAATTGATTGACAGTAAGATTTTTCTCGGAAAATATCTTCTGTAGCGATAGGTAGTTCATTCTCATTTTAATTAACTGCCCGAAAAAAAATGTGGTTGGTTAAAATTCACAAATTATTATGTGAGTAAACAGAACTAACTCGTATATTCGGAGGATCGCTATTTTTCCAAGATGGCGTACACATTTCTTTCCGATTCTTTCTCTAGCAAAAAATAAACTAACATTTTAATCCAGTAGCGCATGATTGCTCTACACTCGATGATATTTTTGTCCAAATATCAAGTAGCTTTATTGTTTATCTATTGTTTCTTTTATGTCTAACTGCTATCAAGACCATTCGCACCTTAGTATGCAGTATGGGGCTTATGGAGAAACAGTACATGCTTGCCAAACTTATTATAGGATCGATTACTGCACCGTAAAACGGTAGTTTAGACACTATTTATTACTTTTTAACCTAACCTCAGAAGTCAAAAAGGTAAATTAATAACAAGTTGTAATTGTTTGTCAAATGTGGCCGAGAACAGCTTGTATTTATTAAGTCCCCAAAAATTTACAAATATACAGTATACATATTAGTCACTGGAATCGAATTGAAATTCATCGGAAGATGACTGCGACACTTGAATTATAAATTCTTCAACATCATCTTGAAGATAATCTGCTGCCCACATACCATCTTCGATAGTTTTCACGTGATTGACATAATGTTGCCAATTTTGAACCGTAACTTGTGAATAACCCATTTTTATTAATTCTTCCATGTCCTTTATTTTAAATGTTTTGTTATTCATTTTGATATGATGTTTAACTTGAGCCCACACCATTTCAATGGGATTTAATTCACAATGATATGGAGGTAAACGGAGAATCTCGTAACCTTTTTCTTGTGCAATAACATCAAGCTTATTTTTGTCGTAGTGATGCCGAACATGCGCAACAGAAGCGAGTAGGTCTCGTTTTAATGGATTTTCTTCAATCGGTACATTTTTCTCACGAAGCCAATCTATAATGTGTTCTTTTCTCCACGACATTGTTGGTATCTTCTCCAACTTTCTACTGTGGTACGAGGCATTGTCAATAACAATGACTGAATTCGGTGGCACATTTGGTAGAGGCTGTTCAAAAAACCACTTTTCATAAGTGTCTGCATCCATTTCGTTGTGTGCATCAGCAGTGTTCTTTTTGCAGAGAAAAGTCAGTTCCGCGCCCGGAATTAAACCATTATCACCACCAGCATGTACTAACGCAAAGCGAGGCCCTAGACCAGTGGGTGATTTTAAACCTGTACTGAGTCCTTTGATGAATGCCTGACGATTGCTTTCAACGGTGGGGTCATGCCACGCCCTGCTCACCGAATGACCAATGTTAACCCATGACTCATCCGTATACACAATATTTTTACCTAAAATATAAATATTATGTAATTTGCAATTAAATATAATAAAAAGATGAAGCACCTTCTTCTCTCAACTTCCTGATGCGACGTAGGTATTTATGTCTCCATCGTATAATATCATCCCGTTCAATAAGGATACTCTTGCGGCCAACCTTCTTAAACCCATATCTTTCAAGAGATTGAATAATGTGGTGCGTTTAAAGTTGGGTAGATCGTTATCGTCATTTACGGAAGCTAAGATGCTGTTCATAGTTGGTGGAATATTTGTAATGAAAAAGTTATGCACTTTACGTCGAATAACTGATTGCACATTTTCATCATACACATGAAGACGATCATTGCTTTGTTTCCCTTTTCTTTGCTTGCGTTTTTTCGGGCTTGATACACCTTCGTTTCCGTCTTCCTTTTTAATGGCATAGATGTTCCGTTCAGAACAACATAAAGCTTTACTTGCTTCTTTCACAGCTGCAGTAACGTTCATCGTTCCCGAGAAATAGTTCAGCACGTTGATAATGAGGTGTTTCTCCTTCCGGCTAAAACACTCTCCTTTATGGTGTTTCACGTTAGCAGATCCTGCTTCAGCTTCGGCTTCCATTTAATGGGATATTCTAAAAAGATGAAATCAAATAACGGTTCTACAAGAACACTCAAAGTTACCTTGTATATAAAGTACGAGATGGTGGCGTTCTTAAAAGAACGATTTTTAAAGCAATGAGACAATAAAATGTGTTAAATACGAAAGACAAAAACGAACCACACACGTAATGACAATACAAGAAGATTTGACGTTATATTTTGTTTTAAAGCTTAAATTCAATCATATGTAAGTTTGGCATCATTGCGGTAAGGAATAAGGATAGCGTTATTGAAGAATGACGCAAATTAGTAAAGGAGGGATATAGTCCATAAGACCCCATACTGCATATTAAGGTGCGAATGCTCTATAGT